CCAGGCTGCTCGCCACACAGGGTCAATGAGTCTACTCTCACTGCATCGCTAGTCTGTTATTTCAGAATCCAGTGGATTTGTGTATCTGGCTGTCATCCTCTTCTTGTAATGGCTTTGGGGTGTTCTGGCATCTTCACCCAGTGGAAAGATTTTGCCTCTTCAGTTAACTCTTTCAGTTACAGACACTGCTCTGTAAAAACCTTGCATTGCTCTTGTCCTGGCCTGTCCGGAAATACATGATGTAAGCTTCCCTTGGGACTCGGGCCTGCTGGAAAATACTTTTTGGGGTTCTGACTTTCCAGATTATGCCATTTCATGGTTTGGGAGTAGGAGAACAAAACTGGACACTGTTGCACAGCCTCAGCTTGGCCCTGTTCCAACAGTGAAACTAGCTGGAGGCCATCCAAGCTGAACTTGACCTCCTAATTCCCATATCTCATTCGGCTGGACATTCACATTAGACATGGGAACATAAGAAAGATTAAAAATGAGAGAGTTTTTCAGGTCTTCGGGCTGCTTTGGTAGTTGTAGTTAATTGATCCAGGGGTCTAATCTGGCCATTAATTAAAAGAAACCAGGGCATTGGCTTCAGCAACATGGCTGGGTAGCTTGTTCCTGACTCCCACAACCATCTGGATAAAGAAATGGCTCCTGTTCATTAGTTTTTAAATGTCTCCAGTAATATCATAATACCAGTGACACCATAATGCATTTGCTGAGCATGTCTTTTGCTTATCTGGAAAATGGGTTTTCCAGTTTAGTGTGAAACTGGCCAGTTAAATTCCTGAAAGCAATCTATACGGAAAACCGAAGAGTGCAGTAAGGGTGTTGACGTCTCCTTTGTGCCGGCAGGTCTTGGGGTACTACAACAGGAGAGGAATCAACCCTGAAGCCTTTCTGAAGGAAATCAAGTACATCGCCAGCGACCCTGATGATAAGCACTTCTTCAACGTGACGGATGAATCTGCACTGAAAGACATTGTGGACGCGCTGGGGGAGCGCATCTTCAGCTTGGAAGGTACTTTACTGCACTGAACTGCAGAGTTAGCAGAAAGTGATGTGCACGACATGCTGTAACCCTGAAAGTCTGAAATTGGGGTGACCACAAGTAGTCCTGCAGCAAGAGCACTCCAGAAAACAAACATTCACTTTTAAAATATATTCAGCCGAATCAGCTTTACATATTTAGAACAAGATATGAACAAAAAGAGCTGGATTACCTTCTCTGAGTGAGAAGGCACTAATGAACACCCAGTATCTGTGAATGTGTAGCATAAAAGAAGCCGAAAGGGAAATGTGCTGACTTTCCAGACAGTAGCTGGAAAAAGAGCCTCCAAACATATTTGTGAAATGTGTTGGTGTTGCATAACTATCCCACAGGACATATGGGGATCCCAGCATTCCCCTGCCCCTGTGGCGTGCAAACCTGAACCACAAATGCAGGAATTCTCAGTGTTTCCTACCCATGTCCCTGTTACATTATAAAGATTTTTTCAACTTTCTGCACACATATCTGCATCAGGCCCTGCAACGGGTCAAGTCAAAGGCTCCACATACTGCTTTGGTTCCTGTTTGGGGTCACACAACAGAACACATTTCTGTTCCAAGGTGTGACATATGTTAATATGGCATTTACATACAAGATGTCCATCTTTCAACCTGGTTGTGAGTGACCTGAGCCATGATTCGATTTGACTGCTCCTGGCCTGCTCTGCCTGTCTTAACTCGCTGCCCCCCTCTCCATCTTGACAGGAACAAGCAAGAACGGGACGGCATTTGGCCTGCAGATGTCCCAGGCCGGGTTCTCCTCACACATCGTGGAGGCAGGTGTCTTTTCCGGGGTTTTATTTACACTCGTTCTTGTCATTTCACATTGTTCTCTTTCCCTCTCTGCTTTGGTACAGTATTGCGTTTCATGCCTTTCCAACCTCCCTCTCACTCTCCCTCCCTTCTGGGACACTCTGCAAATGTGTTAGCATTACCGCAGTCCTCTTAGCTTCCTTCTCTCCCCCCTTCCCTCCCTTTCTATCCTCTGGCCTTTAAAAAGAGAAAGAGTCTTGCAGGTAGAGAGGAGATAAGTAATGTCTCTTTCAGGAGACATAAATAGTTAAACAACCAGCTTATTCCTCTGAGATGTCTGCAGATGAGGCCTACAGGGCAAGAGATTTATCTCGGCTCTCCTGGTCATGATCAGGCAGTGCAATAAATGTGGTGAAGCTTGTGTTCAACACAGGAGCTGTTAATCAAAACAGAGGATGACGTGGGCAGTGGAGTGTGACTGAGGTCCCCCTCTCTTTGTCTGCTCTTCTCCCTCTTCCTCCATTTGTGCTCTCTTTTTCTGTCCAACTCTCCCTTTCTTCCTCTTGCTCTCTCAGTCTCTGTTTCTCTATGTCTCCCAGTTTCTGCCATCCTCTCCTCGTCTCTGTGTCCCTCTCTCTGTGGTTTGTGGATTTGTGGACGCTGATGCAATGAGGTTTAATAAGATCCAGCTTCCAGTCAGAGCACACACAGCTTAGAGAGTAAAATATCCCCCCCCCCGCCACCTCTTCACACACACACACACGCGCAAGCACGCCAACACACCCACACTTGCCTACCTCTCCAAGAGAAAACAAACACAAAAAATGAGACAGAGTGGAAATTTCCTATTTCAGGACAATCACTGGATTCCTGGGATAGCATTGCATCTCCTATAAAAGCAAAATACATACCAAGAAAAAGAGAAAATCGTGGAAAATATTTTTTTAGAAAGTGGATCTGTGACTCTCTTCAGGCACAGCCGGTTTGCTTGCCCTGGCAGCTGGAGACACTGTCTGGTCTCGGTGCACTGGCTTCATCAGACACACTGCCTGTCGGGACTCTCAGACTGCCTCCCGTCTTCCTGCACTGTGAGAGATACTCTTGCCCTTTTAAGAGGCTCAACTGGACATTCTTCTGAATCTGTATCTGAATCTGAATCTGTCTCTTGTTTGCTACTGCACCGTGTCGGTTACATCTATCAATACCATCATAAACATTTGAGAAACTTTAGGGAAAATATTGTTTTTTTTTTCATAGCAAAAAGCAGCACCTGTTTCCCATTTGCTCTAGAGCCCACGAAACCCGACTCTCCAGGAAGAGTCCTGTGACATCAGACTGTCCTCCCTTTAAATGCAGTCGGCTGTGCAAGACTGTCTGGCTTCCACTGAGAGCTTCCAGAGTTTCTGATGTTCAGCACCGACCTGCAATCCCTGCCTGCATAGCCTCTGTGCTTTGAGATTCGGTTGTTTTCCAAAAATATAATTTTTGGCACTTCCCTCATTTAAAGTTCACTGTTAAAGCATGGTCAAGTGTAGCAATGTACAATGAGCAGTGTGAGGAGAGCTATGGTAAACCAAGGCAAAGTCAAGGTGCATGCATGGGAGAAAATAAGTTTAATGATCAGATTAAAATGCAGATGTAGCACAGAGTGATTGGCTATCCCTCTCTAACTCTAATGCGTCACAGTGCTGAGGATGAAAGAGTAACTGTTTATGCTGACAGAGGTGGGCCTCTTAAGTGCTGACTGTGCCGCCTCATTCTTAATGAGACAGACCGATGAGACCACAGGTTGACTCACACACCTACATCAATTTCTTAAATCAGAGTTAAAATCTTAATCCCTTCGTGGTTTGGCCCCCGCCTAATGTGACTTATCTTTTGGTCACATTTCAAAATCTACCCTTTGCTGATCTTTTTCACCCAGCCATGTGCTGCTTGCAGAGCTGCTATACAGCAGCCAATCAGGGACTTTGCCAACCCTGAAGAAATTAGAGAATCTGGTTTGGTTATTTCCATCAGATGTTTTTTTAAAAGCCTATCTGCTCTAATTAGGTTGTAATAAATAGATTTTCTATGTTCTGACCTGTGCAGAACTGGTGTCAAGTGTCAACACTGCAGACATTTTACCCTAGTTAATCTGATAAGACACTTCAAAAGCCCTATGAAGCATTACATACATTCTGTACCTGTGCAAAGATGTATTATTTCTTTTAAGTGCTTAACTTCCTGCACCTGTAACGAACAGTTCTTTCCGGACCCTATGCGGACTACACAGTCCGACGGAGTGGGGAAACACTAGGGAAACGTCATGCAGGAATACGGGGCTGAAGACGGGGGGGCGTGTCCAAGGTGCGCTGGTGCACGGGGGAGGTGTGGCCGAGGCGAACAATCCGAGAGTAGTCCTTAGGGAAAATCCAAAACGCAAGGGTAAGTCCAAAACCAGAAGATCCATCAGAACAGAGAATTAAAAACCACGAAGGCCAGGTCGGGAACGGGGAACGGGGAACGGGGAACGGGGGTTAAAACCTTAACGGGACCAGGCGCTTGCAGGTCCCGGACTCGCACGATATGGAAATCAGATGCAGAGCCCGGATGAGCGTCAGCGCCTGGCTTTTAAGGTGGGCTGGGAATAGGAATCAGGTGCATAGAATAAAGTCTCACGTGAACGGGCTGGAGCACCCTTAAGGAGGGGGAACTATAATCGTGACAGCACCAATCTCTTTCTCTCCAATTTACCTTTTGTCAAAATTAATTAGACAGAGCCCAAACAACCTCCAGTGCAACTATTCAATCTTTCATTAGAGTAAATTAATGACATGGTGCAGCTGCTGTGATGAAGAACAATGTTTAGGACATGACACCTCTGGATCTCATTAGTCATTCTGGCTGCTCACAAAGGAATAGAAAAACTTTATCAGCTTGCAGGCCCTTGCCAGAACTGCGCACTGAATGATTCAAGCCTGACCTCATGTACACTTTGCAAAACAAAAAAGTGGGTTGCAACTGTGTTCTGGCAATACCTTAAACAGGGCTGGTGTGCTGTGGAAAAAACACATTACTGGGTTGGGAAGTTAGTATTACAGAGAGCCACTCAATGAAAAGTAACAGCTTTGATACAGTGGTGACAGGGATGTGAAACAACACCAAGCACAAAAGGAGGAGACACAAACATCAGTCAGGAAGACTGGTGTTTGTACATGCTGTATAAGGCTGATAAGTATGTTACTGGCATGGAGGTGTTGTGAGAACACTGGCTAGTTTCACAGTGAGTTTGGGTGAAATGAAGCACTGCAGGATTCACTCCTTAATAAACACTTAGCTGTCCAGGTTGCCCACTGTGCCCTGCAATAGGTCCTCTTGGAGTAAATTTGCGTAACACACTTTTTTAGCATCTGCCAGTATGTCTTGGACACTTTCAATTCTTTTTCAAAACACAAATATGGGGGGGAAATTAAAAAAGAAACACACTGAATAGATTAAGTGTTTTCTTTTAATTTTTTTTATTAACAATAGTTGGCAGTGTCTGTAAAGTAAAACTGGTTTTTAAGAGTGTTGTGAAAGATGTTCCATTTCCTGAATTAACAACAGAGGAGAGTCACATGGCTGTAAAGAGAGAGAAAAACAGCTCATGAGGGCCGTGCATTCTGCATGATGTAAGGAGAAGGTGGCTCACATGTGCTCTTTCTCTGGCTCCCATGTCAGCAGCATGCTGTGTGCGACGCGTGTTCATTCGGGGAGTGACACAATCCCTTCGATTAGCCAGACTGGGAGAAAAACTGGGAGATAAAGCAGTTTGTCTGAGAATTTACCTTCATCCTATGTGTAATCCACTACTTTTTCCAAAGTAAATACATCTGCCCGCCAACAGCTACAGGTCTCTCCATCCCCTGGGCAGCTGAGCCCGCTGTCCCCGGGCACCACACACCTGCACACAGCTGGCCTGATGGCCAAGGCTTCTCGGGGCTTTGCCCATCAGAAAAATCAAGACCTTGAACCTCAAGTTAAACAAAATGCTAAAAAACCATCCAAGAACTTCTACTGATCTAAGCGTGCAGCCATAACAGTGAGAAGCTGTGCTAAAAAACATCACCACGTGCCACACGTCACACACACAGCCTCCAGCACGGCAGTGCCTTGATCGCGTTGAGCAGGTGCAGCCTGGCACTGGCGCCCGTGCGGAAAGGCTGGCATCCACACCAAAGGGCTCACAGATCCGCCATCGCAGTTGTTTTTCTTCTTACTATGCCAAGTACATGTAAGTCCGGCTGCAGCGCGGAAGCGCTACTTCATCTGCGAAGACACCTCTAGCAGGGGGAAAAGGCATGGGACGTTGACTTCTTAAACAGCTTTTGATGCTGTGCTTTGGCGTTTTAAAACGCTGCGCTTGTCTTTTGCCCGGGGTACACAGTTCTCGTTGTGCAGGCTCACGCCGGCGAATCTGTCTCTCGCTGCAGGACGGGATCCTGGTGGGGGCTGTGGGGGCATACGACTGGAACGGGGCCGTGCTGAAGGAGACAAGGCACGGAAAAGTCATCCCCTCCAAAGCTGCCTACCAGCAAGAGTTCCCCGAGGAGCTCAAGAACCACGGGGCATACCTGGGTAAGCCAGCAAGAGGGCGTGCGCGGTGTGCTGAACGACCGAGTCGTTCCAGTTGCCATTTTTTAACATGCTGTCACATATGACACGTCATCTCGAGGCACTTTACACAGAACAAAGCATCTGAATCATATGCATACACAGCTCAGTGTAAGAAATTAGACGCTTGAGTGCAGAGGTAAGCTTTCAGACAGGAGGTAGTTAAAACACTCCAACACTATTGGCTGTAAGTTCTTATAGCTCCTGCAGTTTGTACACCCTCTGTCTTCCAGTGTTTTCACGAGTCAGGGATTAGGGAAGAGGATGTGCATAGAGGTGTGTGAATCAGGGGTATTCAGCTGATGTTCTTTTTGCACCAAAGCCTAAGGACTCAAGACCATTTAAAAAAATTGGGGTCATATATACAGGTATGTAAGTAAATATATATATGTAAGACGTTACCTTTGCAATAGCATGTTTTTATTTACAGTCAAGCACTAGCTGTGCTCTAATGAAATATGCTGTGTGAGTTTAATGTACTAGTAATTGATCAAAATAAAAGCCCTAATTTCACCTCTCTTCACCCTCAAGCCTGCCTAATTGAAAGCACCACATGTTAGAGCAGTTAACAGCTTCGTAATGGCGGCTCTTTCTGTGCCGTCAGGGGAGCTCCCAGCTTCACTGTAGCCGATTGATTCCAAAACACGTGAAGTGGATGTGCGCTTCTCAGCATTGGGGACATGTGGCAAGTGCATTGCAGCCTGTGGTTTTAACACGATCCCAGCTCCAGTCCTTGCTATAAACTGTCAAGCCAGTTCCCAGCAATTCTTACTCTTTGTTTTTTCCATTAGGAAGCATGGTGGAAACAGTTACAGATCTTATTAGAGAGGGAACGAATTTAGACCCGGCCCTCCCTGAAAAAAATGTAAACACGCCAGCATCGAAATGGAAAGTGACTGACTGGAGTTCAGCAATTCAAGGCGAACAGCCTCTATTGTATTTCATTGTTTTACTGCCAGTCATTAGTCTGAGCCGCAGAATGAGAGCCATTTGGATGCCAAAGGAGTATGAAAAAAATCCACAATGCATGGAAAAAAATATATATTCTGCTATTTTTGGAGGAGCGCTAATAGATTTATAAAGTGCATTTGTTTCTTCACTTAGCTCTTTCACCAATGACGTTTTCTTGTCCCCCGCATCAGGAACAACAAGAATTATAATCATAATATTAATAGCTCAGCCTCGATTGCCCACCCTCCAGATTTTCATCCTATCACCAGCCTTCCATGCATGCTGCAAGTACTTAGAGGATAACACAGATTAACAGTGCCAGTTCCTCATTGTGTCTCCACAGACTCAGCATAATGACTACCAGTGCCTTACTGTTCCAGGGTACACTGTGACTTCAGTGGTGTCGGCAAAGAACGAACGGCTGTACGTGGCTGGAGCTCCACGGTTCAACCACACGGGAAAAGTCATCATCTTCACTCTGCGGAACAATGGCAACCTCACCATCCTTCACTCGCTCAAGGGACAGCAGGTACCCTCAAGTGAACGCTTATCCGAGCTCACACTCACTCAGCACTGTACCCCCCTGCTGGACTCCTCAAGCTCACTCCGCCCCTAAGAAACTAAACCGCTCAGCCTTGACAGCTGAAAAATGTATGCTTTGCTGCGGTGGAGCTGTATTGTCCACAGCCACCCAGAATCGCGGATCTTTAGCTAGTTGGTGTGCGCACCTTCATTCGAGAAGTGTTCCAATTTCAGAAAAGCCACAACACGCTTTCACAGAAGCAAAGTCATGTCTGGTCATCTGTTTAAATTTCCACCCCTTTAGAAAAATATATGTTAATTTTTCACAACGAGAAAAGAAATGCAGCTTATAGCATTATTACATCCTTTCCCCAGTAGTCTGGTAGTCAGGACTGCTGCAAATCCTTTTACCAATCCAGGGAGCTCCTGACTGAGCCTTGTCAATTCCAGCTGTTCTGTTCTTGTGCTCTTAGCCTCAGGTGGCATCTATTCTTACCATAGAGTAACTCATTTCTTTCTTTTCCATATGTAAAGGAGAACTTCTGTGGTATATGCAACATACAGTATTGACATAAGTTCTTAATTTCCAAACATGTGATGGTGCTTAACTTAAGTGAATCAAACTATTTCGAAACAACGTTGTCTTTCGGGTCTAGAAAGGCACACTTTCCTTGCGTGGTTTCCAGCTGCTGGTTAAAATACAAATCCTTGTGCTACTCCTCACATGTACGCAACTAAACTACTCCAGACAGCTCAGAAACAGCATGAACCTAATTGCTTTGTGTTCTTCATGGAGATTTCTTGTCACACGTGCTCAGCACATGAGGGTCGCCATTACAGTCTAGACCTCAACGCCAGAAGGCACATGCTTTGCATGTGAGTCCCTAAATTAAAACAGGGACTGATAGGAGGTGAGAAATTCCTTTAGCACCAGCAATGCCTAAAAATGTGAAAACAACTGTGTAAAAAGAGACTTTTTTTAGAAACAATTCAGAACATTCATCAAACAAATGAAATAGGCAACTCATTTCAGTCAAAGGAGGGTTGGCTATCTTTGTAGAGATGAGTTCCGCATTTTGACCTGATGCAAACTGAGATTCTCGATCAATTCCCTTTAAAAAATTCAGGTTTTCCTCAAGGGCAGCTATAAATCCCAAATATCTCTCTATCAAAAAAAAACACATTGCCGTCATCTTTATTCAAAAGTGTGCCAGGAAATCTAAACCTGAGAAGTAATTTGAAATGAAGAAATCACAAATTCTAAGGGAACTTCCTGGAACTGCGTTTACCCCCTGGGGAGTTTCTAGATTGACAAATTAACAACTTGAAAACATACACAGTGGTGCCTGAGGCCAATATAGCCACCTGTCCAGTGCAAGCTAAAATACCGGTGTTTGTTTCTGGACTTTTATTTCTTGTCCTTTCTCTCCCCAGCAATCACAGCTGTGTTAGGCACGGCCAAAATATACAAATACTGAAATCCTCCTTTCTGTAATTTCAGTCATATCAGGATTCAGACTTTAAAGGTTTTTGCAGTGCACCCAGGACCCGTGACTATTGACAAGTACGAAAATATTTGGACGGAAGTTGCTTTGGTCCCTTCCCTCTGTCTCTGTCTTTGGACTGTGCACCTACTGCAGCTGTTTGTTGTGGTTGCAGATTGGTTCTTACTATGGCAGTGAGATTGCTCCGGTGGACATAGACGGTGACGGTGTGACCGACAATCTCCTCGTTGCTGCACCAATGTTCTTCAGTGGAGGCTGGGAGAAGGGCAAGGTATACATCTACAGAGTCACTGAGCAGGTGAGTGAGTACATCTTCCATTCAACCCTTACCCTGCCAGATGTGAGAAAAGTCTGCTCCATTTCACATGGTAAAAGATTGAATATTTAAAATATTTTTGGGCCGTGGGGGAGAAATGTCTAAAAACTATAATTTGACCAGCTATAGATGTACCCCGCCCCACTCTATATTTCCTGCAACACACTGTTTTAACAAAATCTTTCCTGAGAAATGACTGTTCAGTATTCAGGAGAGATATTGGTCACTAACATGCATAACCAATTGAATAGAAATATAGATGCAAAGGAACAAATAACAGGTTTATTCCATGCAGAAAAGAGAAGAAAGAAAACACAACATTTAGGCCGTGGAGCCTTCTTCAGATGTGTGAAATACCCACTAAAAATTTAGATTTCCATTAACCATAATGAAAAGATCCGCCATCAGAAACACATTGTAGGGTGACCTCAGTAGGAAAGCTTTTAATCATTCAAGCAAAATTGCCACTACATCCTGCTTAAATGACCTTGGCACATGGAAAATGCTGGAGTGAAAAGCAAAATGCTTTAGCATGATGAAGCAGCTGGGATTTTTTCCAGGGAGTTTTAAAAGCAAGTGTTTCATCTTTAGAAAAGGGTCTGTTTGGTTTATTTCAGAAATTCATTAGATCTCTATAGGGTTGCAGATTAGGAAGACCTGAAAAACCTGGAGACCCCTCTTTGGCTTCCCAGAACCAGTTCATGCAGCCTTAAATGAACAGGAGTTTCTTCAGGGAAAGGAAAAAGTGTCACAGGAGAATGCAGGATGGAGAAGCTGTGGGATAATGGAAAAGTCCATCACCTCACTTGTTAAATCAGCAGCACGCGGCCTTGCTATGTGTATATGTGGGATTCAGTTCAACAGCATGTGTTTCCAATAATAAAACTAGAGATTTTATTCCTCTTTCTGTAATCATATTTAGCAGGTTTGACCCTGAGGCACAGTGAGGTATATGTGCTACAGTCTGCTCCCTTGGCATCCTTTCTTTCATCTATGAAGATTGTGAACTTGTTAAAGGGAAGCAAGTCATGTCATATTACTGTACATTCAAAGTGACATTCAGACATCTATAGATAGCGAGAAGGAGGATAGCTAATCATTTTAAAATGTTTTGACTTGAAATTGACTCACATTTCTGGATTTTCTCATAACAGTCAAGTATTTTACTTTTCACTTCAGCACTTTCCTCATATTAAGACCATTTAATCAAGATGTGACAGTAATTTTGTTTGAGAGAACAAATATTTTCCAGCTGAGTTCGCACTGTTTTGAACACCTGATAATACAGGTTCTCATGAAACACTCAGAAGTCTTTACGATGACCAGCCATAAGTGGGAGGGACCAGTATCTCTCCTGAATGTGGATTACAAACTGGAAATCCTTCAAAAACCTACAGTTTGTCAGATAATAGTAGTGTAAATTCTTGGTCTGCAGTCATAGTAACACGTCTCAGTGTGCAAGAGCCTGTTACAGAAGGTAATGTATGTCGTTGCAACCTAAACACTGTCGGATTCTTCTGTGACAGGAGACCCAGTTTGTTGACGTAATGCAGTTTGGTGTTGTCTAAGGAGAGGCCCTGTGTATGTTCTGGACCCACAATTGACCGTCATTGCATGCTGGCAGTTACAGGAGCTGTACTTGTCATTCCTTGTATTAGCCACCTGCCTGACCGCATGTTTCGTACCCCAGAGCCACTTCATCCTGGAGGGGGCGTTAGAGATTTCAGACCGCTGGCAAAATGCACGGTTCGGCTCCTCCCTGGCCCCCATTCCAGACCTCAATGCTGATTCCTATAACGAGGTGGTGGTGGGTGCACCACTGGAGGACGACCATCGGGGGGCAATATACATCTTCTTTGGCCAGCAGGACCAGATACAGCGGGAATACAAGCAGGTGAAACCAACGGCTTAATGTGTCTCTCCTCTCCAGGAACAGCCTAGGCTTTCCCATTCTGTTGACTAAATGTTTTTACCTTAATCATTTATATACTCTTCAACAGCAGACTCTATTATTTAATTAAGCACCCGTTAAGTATTTGTTGAAAGGATGGCATAACTTAGTGGGTAAGCCTCCGATTGTGGGTTCAAGTCCCCTCTGCAGATACTGCTCTTGCACTCTTGAGCAAAGAGCATTATCCTGGTGGCTCTAGTCCTCCCAGATACTGAGGTGTGAACCAGCATTGCCATAGGTAAAACCCACAATGGTTGGCCATCACATCTTTAGGGGGAGCCTCTGCTTAATGCTTCAGCAACCAAAGTGAGGTCAGGCCCAATGAGCCACTGTGCTGTGGTTCAGATTTTGTCTAAGAAACTGTTAACTGGAACAGAATACTGTAATGGAAAGAACTCACAGTAGTTAAAATGGTCATCTTGACTCTGATCCCTTTTAAGATGACAAATCCAAACTTCATTAGAAAGCTTATTTGCTAAATTGCTCAATGATGGCATTTGTTTCAGCTCTTTAGAAAGCTCCCCCACAGCCTGATGGACTGGACCTATCGATAGGAGCACAACTGGCCAGACTGTGTCCAGTTTGCGTCACGTAAATAATTAGTTTGTAAAGTTCCGTGACAGGTTGCAGACCCACTGAAAACAGCATGTCTCTCTTCCCCGTCAGCGGATCGCAGCAGCAGATCTCTCCCACAGCCTGATGTATTTTGGCCGCAGCATTCATGGGAAGATGGACCTGAATGAGGATGGGCTGGTGGACTTGGCAGTAGGCTCTCTGGGTGCTGTTGTGTTGCTCTGGTGTGTGAACCCCTTATTAACAGAGGGCTCTATGACATCTGTAAATTGTCATTGACTGTCTTGCCACCATCTAGCCTGATGTCATCAGATCTCAGACATTAAGGAAGGCTGGGTCTGGTCAGTCCTAGAATGACAAACCAAAGTGTTGTGCCAAATAGTGTTGCTTGACCAGCAGGTGGTTTCCCTCTAAACCACAATTTTCAAACCAGTGACTTGACTTGGTACAATCAACAGTACACTAAAGTGAAGTTCTCCCTAACTTCAATTTGAGATTGTAGTTGCTGGTGAAGAACAGCTGGTGTACAGTGCATCTTCACTCACATTTGAGAAGTGAATGAAGTTAATGGCCTCCTACCCCTATTTCTGAAACACTTTAGTACCCTTTGAAATGTAAAGTCTTATTATTAATTAGTAGTAGTTATTATTAGTAGTTTAGTAGACTACATATTATTATTACTAGTCTGTTAAGTAATTATTTTACCATGTGCTCTTACAACAGCTTCACAGTGTGACATCTCTCTCCAGGCAATTTTCTGGAGCATAAATAACTTTAGCAATACAGTATGATATTCTGTTTTTTTAATTTGAAGCTCAGGAGGCTGTGCACCTCCAATATACTTCCAAGGATAGTTTCCTTGTGCTCAGGAAGTGCATCAGAATTATAAAACAATACTGCCATAACACAGATGTTTTCACAACAGGATTGTCTTGTCAAGAGAAGGGTCTACAGCAACACTGGACAACACTAGTTTTTTTTTTAATCAAAGAGTTATTAATGCCTGGCTGTGGAGGCTGATGTACTGAGATATATGAAAAAACGCTAAATAAATACTTAATTGGAAACAGAATAGTAGACAAGTAGAAATAATGTTCTGTTTTCATGGTGTCCTTATGTAAAGCTGATAGCAAAATTACTATTAGTAGTACTATTACCTCCATATACAAGTTGTATAGAGGGCGGTGTGGTGGCTCTCTGGCTAAGGATCTGTGCCTGTGGCTGGAAGGTTGCCGGCTCAAATCCTGTGGCCGGCAGAAGAATCCTACTCCGTTGGGCCCCTGAGCAAGGCCCTTAACCCCAGCTGCTCCAGGGGCGCTGTATAAATGGCTGACCCTGCGCTCTGACCCCAGGCTTCTCTCTCCCCATCTGTGTGTCTCATGGAGAGCAAGCTGGGGTACGCGAAAAGACAAATTCCTAAAGCCAGAAATTGTATATGGCCAATAAAGCGATCTTATCTTATAAAGGTGTCATGTGTTATTTTGTGAAGTGAGCAGTCACGGTCTTCATTAGATAATATAAAGGCCAGTTATTTCAAATGCTTTCTTTCTGTTGGTAGGTCACGAAGTGTCGTTCAGATTCATGCCGTTGTCAAGTTTGAGCCCCACAAGGTCAATATCTTCAACAAAGACTGCCGAAGGGGTGGCAAAGATGTCACCTGCATGTCAGCCATCGTCTGCCTCAATGTCACTGCCAAGTCCCCCGTCGCACCCACACAGGAAGTAGGTAAGCCCTGAGCCTGACGCTGCCCGCATTAGTCACATGGGAAGATCGGCCAGCGAGCTTCCCTTTGATCAGCTGCGCATTCTGCTGCTATATTTGAGTTTCCTTTTCCTCGGTCTGTCCCAGAAAGGATGAGATTTCCCCGCCTCCTGCTTGAGCTGTTCCAGGTTTAAAAGGCCAGTGCCTGAAAACCAGTGTCAGGTGTTCAATCTTTCAAAGTCTCAACTTAAAATATACAGCCTAAATAAACCAAACAAAATGTTATTCTGCCCTGGTTTGTTAATGGGGCATTATTTCCAAATGAATCTGAAACGGATAAAACTACTATGTGATAAGAGTTTCTTGTCTCCCTGAAATTATGTTTTATAAAATTAAAAACTTTTAAAGCAAAATTGTCTGGATATAGATGTCATGCAAAATATTATCTTAGCAAAATAAATGCTGGTAAAAGGTTTATGGGATAAAGAAACAGAAATAATGTTGTCTCCTCTTTGATAAGGCTCAAATAGAAAAGTGTATTTGCAAAAGGCACAACTTCATTATATTTTGGGTGGGTGGCCTCTGTACTGAGTGAAGTTCAAAGACATGCAAATCCCCAAAAAAATTAAAAAAGATGGAGCCAGCAAGATTCATCAGAAAGTGGCAATGTTATAAGCATTGCAGTTTTTTTGGAGCAGTTTATTAAATATTCTTGGAAATCCATTCCTGATTTAATGAGAAGAGCAAACACGATTCAGAAGTTTCCAAATGCAGCTCTTGGAACACAGTTTGAGATGCTCAGATAATGCAGTAAACCTAAAATAATATTTCAGATCGTCATATAGAACTTTTCACCTCTTACGTATTAATACCTGCAAATTCTGGCACTGAAAGTTTAAAATGATTAGGTGCAAGACTTAATTTTTTGTCATTTCAGTATCTGGATAATAACCTGTACTCAGACAGCACTGACTGCAACTGCCAAAACTATAATCAGTGCCCCATCTATTCAAGGGGTGTGAATGTCATTTGGCACTGGGAATTTAGGCATGAAGTGGATTCAGTCATTGCTATCCATTGCTAACCAAATCTAATCCAGCCAAATATCTTGATAAACGACCACAGTGCTAACCATCCCTATCCTGATCTTCAAGTGCCCTGGCTCATACATTGCCTCAGAAGTGGCACTGGAACATTTTTTCATGGCACAGCTTCTTTTGACTACAATACATATGTTTAAACTATCTCTGGCAGTTTATTTCTTTAATATATTTTTATTGCTTTCTTGCTTGAAATGCCAGGGCTAACTAATCAGCAATAGCGCCACTAGCACTCTCAAAAGCCTTTGTGAAATTACCCTACAAAGAAAAAGGCACAGCTGCCACAGCTCTTTGCCCTGAGGCCCAGGCAAGGAGCTGGCTGCTGTATTATGGTAGCAATTCCCCAGTGGGAAATTAAATGTTTGGTGATGACCCATGTCCTTTATGATTGCACCTCAGTGTTAAACTTTGAATTACTTCTGCTCCAGGTTAAGAGTAATGAGTGTGTTTCACACCACACACTACACCACAGCATTTAGCCTAGAATTCTTAAAGATGTATTTTTCTGTTCACTGATTTCTGAGAAATGTCCCTCCTGGCAAATCCTTCTTCGTTTCCTGATGCTCAGACAGGAGAAATCAGAAGTAGAAATTGACTGCAAGAGCAAACAGTGGAGCACATTTCTTTCATATTCCTATTGTCGTGTCTGCCTATAATTTTTGTCAGATGTGCAGGTCAGAAGTTCACAGTGTTCAGCCGATTATAATGGAAACCACTTCTCTAATGTGCTAAGCCTCGGGGTAGATAACTCTTTATAGTACTGTGTTCTTTTGGACTGCTTGTAGTTAGTTTTATCTGTAAAACTGAGTAGCTTTTAACTGTGTCAGCTTTCCCTCTCTCTCTGTGTCTGGCCTGTTTCTCATCACCCGCTTATTGTCCGGTATCTCCTCCGATATCAGACTGTAAAATTAGAGACAACATTTGCTTCTGGTTTACTGTAAGGCCAGCAGTGTGCTTTTTGTACAAAATGTTTGGACTGTGTTCAAATAAACGAGGAGAATTAAGCAGACAAAGCTAAAGACCTTGGAAATGCATTTTTTCCGTTTTTATTCCGTATCCTGTTTCTGGAAATTGCCTTGGTTAGAGCATGATACAGAGCTATAAATCACAGGAAAAACACATTGAAAAACATACAGTAGAGAGGAAAAGAAACAGATTATGTGCTCTCACTGTCTGGAGACCAGTTTATTGTGGAAAAAATGTCTGACCTGTAAGACGATGGATAATTTAATTAGCTGTAATCAATCATCCTCCTGCAAGAAAGTCAATGCCAAAATATAACAAGTGACTATCCGACTATAAAACTGAGTCTTTTGGAATGATAAATAATTCATTCATCTCCCCACATCATTGTTCAATGTAACTGATAAGAGTCTTTGTTTCATTTTAATTGAATGAAAAAGTGCCTCTCTAACAGAATTCAGTATTTCATGGTAGTGCGCTTTGGAGGGTTTGAACTCTGTAGATACAGGATGACACCCGCTGTACTGAAAATGTTCAATTCTTCACAGCAGTGAAGTACAGTGTCAACATTGAGGAGCGGAGATACACACCGCGTGCCATCCTGGATGACAATGACAGACAGCAGCCCCAGAACCTCACCTTGCTCCTGGGAGAGGAGTCCTGTGAGCACATATACTTCCATGTCCTGGTAAGTACAGGGCACTCAGACACAGGCCTCCCTGTGGACTGTAGTCTATGCGTTTGGCACAAACAGTTCCTGCATTGCTTGGTTAGTTGGCATTTAATATAATTTTATCATTGAAGTCTTGGCTATACCAGAATCCTGACTATAATCGACAACCTGGCGTATGAGTGTCTCTGACTGATATTACATACACTGAGAAATCACTCTTCTTGGAAACAGAGACACAGATGTTGATCTCTGAACTTTACTTGCATCAGTAAAACAGCAGGACATTTTTATTCTGATTTGTCCTAAAGGTCCCTCAAAGCATGACTTAAAGCTTAATGGCAACAGAGCATTGTTATTCTTTGTGAATGAATCCAATTCACTAATCTGCTTTACCGGGACGGTGTCACAGTGAGTCCACCTTTAGGGACACTCTGAAGAAATGCACTGTTTCCTGGTTGCAAGTAGAGGTGAGGGTTAAAAACCAGAGCAGGTGCTGTAATGCGATGTACAGAATGTCCAATACAATAGTCAGTCCTACAGGAGAGTGGTTGGCACAGTGCAGTACTATCGAAATGGGCTTTAGCTGTCACAGATGTATAGTGAAGTAGTTCAGGTGGGTAGCTGCATCGTGGGCTGCAAAGTCATAGATTTATTCCATGCTGAAAATGAAGAAAGAAAACACAAGGTTTTGGCTGTGGATCTTTCTTTGGGTGTAAGATGTAGAGTGTCTGGTGTTTCAGTACCAGTGCAGTGCCTTTTCAGGACCCCTTGCTACAACTAATCATTGCTTTTCTGCAGGATACCATGGATTATGGCCGCCCCATCATCTTCACTGTGGAGTTCGGAATGCTGGAGTCCAGAGAGGGACCAGTGTTGGATGACACCTGGCCAACCACACTAAGGACAGAGGTTGGTGCATCTGCATGTCCTCAATGAAACAGACAAGCACAGCAGCATGTCAGCTCTGTTCTAGCAACAAAGCTGTTCGACACCACAGTCAGACCAGTCACAGATGGGCCCGAGGATGGCTTGGAACAGGAAGCCTGTGTTGTAAGTCTGCACACTATTAAAATAAATAATGAACATATGTAGAGTTTGCGGTCAGACCCTAGATTTGAACAACTGCCCCAGTCCATTTCTGGGTGCCCAATCCACACAATATAAGCAGATGCCAAACCCACCGCACCAAAAGGCCAGTCCCATCCCTTGGGGAGTTTAAATACTTTTGTGAGTCCCAGAGGAGTGAAGATGCCCTAACAGACACATTTTACATTACGAGACCTGTTGTTTTGTCATGAATTACAATGGGAATGGGAATAGGAATAGGAATAAGAATAAAAATAAGAATAATTCTGGACGCTCCAATCAAAGCGCTTTATAAGCAATGGGGAATGCTGTCCACCACCATAATGTGTAGCAGCCAAAGTGTGCCAGTACGCTCAACACACCCGTCAGCTATATCCCTGAACCCCTCTGTTTATGGCGGCGCACATGGACGCAGCGGCTTCATTAGCTCTACTGCACCTGAGTGACTAATGAGAAACACTTTTCATTATACTAGGCACCTGTGTAAGTTTAATGAGAATAAAGTTGAATTGAATTGAATTGAATTCTCTGTCTCTCGCTCTGTGCAGCTGCCATTCTGGAATGGCTGTGATGAGGATGACCACTGTGTCCCTGACCTGGTCCTGCACAGCCGCGTGGACCTCCTGGAGAGCAGGTAAGGGGGCCACAAACTGAAGATGTACAAGATTCAGTTGAAATTAAAGAAGAAACATTCAGTGACACCTAAAATGATTCAGACTGCAGTATGAAGGGAGTCTTAATTTCCTTCTCCCCATGTTCTCTCATAGACCCAATAAACCCGTTGGCGATAAGCCATTTGGTACCTTCAGTATAACGCATGTGTATTCCTGAGATATATCTTCATATAGATGGGTATATGACTGTTTGCTGTTTGGTGGTCTTCTGTAGGTCTGAGGGGGTCTGATGCTCTCCTCTCCTCTCTCTCCAGGAAGTACTGCGAGATGGCGGTTCAGGCTGGGGGGCCGCTTTGTCGGAAACAGGGGGGAGCGTGGGGTGCGGAGCGGGTGGTGGAGGCGGCGCGGAGGAGGCTGCTCGTGGATGCGCGGCTGGACAACCGCGGGGAGAATGCGTACAGCACCGTGCTCAACATCTCCTTCACCCCCAACCTGCGCTTCTCCAGCCTCATCGTCAAGGTGAGGGCCGCCATCTTGGAACTGCATGGCGCTCCTGGTTTACAGTGGGAACCCAGGGGCCTTTGCTGCTGGTCAATGCTTTTAGGACTTTTCCTCACATCCAGTTCAAAACTGGATCGCGCTCAAACAGGCGGTGCGTTGCACAGCCGTGATCTGGGACACTCGAAAGAATAAACGTTTTTACGTGGAGGCAGGGTGGAGATGAGAGATGTCTGTGCCTCTGGGCGAATGGAGCTTGAACCCGGGTTCTCGCTACATGTTAAATCATTCAGATCAGGGAAAGTCAAACGCCAGGTCATCTACTCCACTGCAGTACAGGATTCTGGCACAGCCAGGACTTCTATTCTAGTTTTTGACCAAAGGTCTTGACACAGTAGTAATGTAAGGCCCCTCAAGTACAGATATTGATTTAAGCCACCAAGAAACAGAATGTGCAATGAACAGTAGAAGAAGGTGTAGTATTCCAGGACCAGCAGAGAGGGCTATTGTGTCTGCAGAAGCGTTTTGGCAGCCCTTCACTGTCCTGGCAATGGGGTCTCTTTCAGGACAACTCAGAAATCAAGATCGAGTGTGGCAGTGAGGACAGGTGGAAACATGAGAGGTCCTGCAACGTCAGCGCCCCGTTTCTCCGCTCACAGGCCCAGGTGAGAGCTTTGGGGCCGGACCGGTGCCTGGCTGTATTAAAATGGGTTAATGTGATGGAGAGAGCACCATCAATACAACCACATCTGTCTCGTTACTAGAATGGCTTCATTTGCCTGCCCCAGTTGTGCTTTTTCTCACTGTTTTCAAAGGTTGTCAAGTCTCTGTGCTCGCAGCCATTCTGAGCCTTGATTCATGGCCCTTTCCTTCTTGCTTCAGCCCACCTGCCCACTGTCAAAAGAAGTCCTGCTTCAGTTCAGTTCTCCAGCCTCCCCAGCTTTCTGCAGTCTGTGTTCGCAGTAAATTTTACAAGCGCTGTTTGTCTGAGTTATGGACAGTGAAAACAGCTCAATCTTTGAGACCATTCACAGGATGTGGCAGGGATGAAATATGCTGTTCCCAGCAGAGAGTGAGGCCTGATATCATGGTCATAAATAACTGATAAGTATGAGGCTCATGGGGGAAGCTGGGCCCATGGGTGAGGCTTTTTGAATGGGCAGCAGAGTTCACCTTGCTCTGTGGGAGACAGGACAGCTACACATGGATGTGATTACTGCCTGTCCTGAGCCCAGACCCAGACTTTAGATTGTAGATCCAGACTTGTCAGACCAGAACTAAGTTACTGCTCTAGATCAGTGGCTCCTCTGTTGTTTTGGCATCCATTCCAAATTTAAGTTACCGAGGACATTTACCTGTCTTAATTTGGCATTTACCTATACACCCAAGTGAACAGCATTTGAAGACAACTGAAACGGTGCCAATGAGTGAATTATTAGTTCAATTAAGGGTCTAATTACGCAGTTGAGAGCTCAGGTACTGCAAAATCAAGAAGCAGCAGGGAACCTTCAGATCCAAGGGTGTGTACCACTGCACTAGATCCCATGTGATTAATTGCAGAGCAATGTAAAACTTAAGGTAAACTCCTCCACAAAAGCAATGATTTCTGCAGCATTAAGAGATCTGAGAGCTTTTACACAAAGGGCTGTCAGACTAAGATATGTGGAATTGAACCCCCTGTATTGTCCTAGTCAATGTCATTGTTAAGGACATTTAACCTCTACCCACCACTGCCTGGTTGATCACCAATGAAACTCCTTCCCTTCAAATCACCTCCAGAGAACCAGCAACCTAGATTTAGTCATTTCCAATTTTAGTGCTGGAACGCTGCATGTGAAATTGGATTATTGTTTTACTTCATTCCCTGGGAATATGAAACCGATTGCCTGGTAAAAGAATTAGTCTTCAGTAGTTGTTTAAGCCATTGACCTGAAGTTGTCTCAGTAATACCGCCGTGCTGGAAAGCAGCTCTCTCTCTCTCTCCGTGAAACATGCCTTCATGCTGAAATTTTTATTTAAGCAGCAAAACCTCTCCAGAGAGAATTGTTTTATTTTCCATTCTGACAGCCTGAGTGCAGAGACACAGAGTCGTACCAGAACCCTGCAGCATGACTGTTTCAACCCCCACCCCACCAGCAGGGCTGAGGATCCAAGATTAAAGTTAACTGTCCCCCAGGGAAGCTCAATAAACGTGCACAGCAGTGTACATACAGTATATGATTTTGGTTAGGCACGATGAGAACTAGCATTCTTCTCAAATACCTAATACATCTTTCCTGGGGAATATGGGAAAACAGCATGGCTCTATTATGAGGTGCCTTGTACTCATATCTGCACTGTGTCTGTATTCTGTGCCATGTGAGCTGTACACATGGAAACCAGTGCCTCATAATGATTTCCCTTGCCTGCTTTACGTGGATCTCTGTACCCTTCCACTACGGTACGACCCGGAAGACCCGGAAGAGCCAAAGACAGTAAACTGTCTGGTATATGACTGTGAACGCCCAAACAATTCCCCCCTGTCTGTGTCCTGGGGAGATGTGTATCGGTGGAGCTACAGGGCCTTGCTAAAGCACTCCACCCCTTCCAATGATGTCCGATTGTGCTGAATTGGAAAAGCTGCATACACTTTTTTTTTTAAATGAATGATTCTGATTAGTAATTGAATGGTCAAACTGAGCGCTTTTATGGGTAAAGACATTACACGTAAGCAAAAACTGCAAAGAAAATTAAAACAATATAACGTGTTGATTGCATACTGTACAGTAGGTATTCACCCCTTTTGTCTTGACAAGGGTCCTTAAGGGTCCTTTAGATTTTTTTTGAATAAGCAGCTGCTGTAATGGCTACAGGCTACATGTATATTTAGATTTTCAGAAAGCTTTCACTAGTTTCTAATAAAGGAGAGTAAATTGCCCCCCACACACACACAAAAAATAAACAGATGAAGTCTCCATTCAGGGTCATATAATTAGGGAAAGCAGTAAAAGAGACAAACTGATCATGTAGTTAAAAGCACAAATTTTAAATCAATGTTATAGTCAAACAGTAAAAACGCCTCCACATTATAAAAGCAATATTGCGTTTCTTTAATGATTCTTGAAAACCTAGAAAACATTCACAGGCTTAAGAACTACTGTGACATGTTGATAAATCTGCACTTTTGTAGTCTTGAGCAAAGTGGACTTCAGAATCAGCAGCGAAAGAGAACCCAAAGACACAAGTGGAAACTAAAGGGAAGAGCATTTCTGTATACAAAGGGTTGTGGGAGTCTGGAACAGGGCACATGCCATATTATTGAAATATACTGACTTCATTCAAAAATCAGCTGAATGAGATCCTCAGATCGGTTTTTATGCCAGAAAGCAAACAAGCCCTCCTCTTTTCTTTAACCCTCCGAATGTTCCTATGTCTGTGTTCCCATGGGTTTGGGGATTTGAATATTCTGCCTGTGATCTCTACAGAGTATGGGTGTAATCTGCTTGTGTGCCCTGTAGGGTGGGGAGATTAATCATCCAGCCTGACCAAGACAGAACAAGGAATTCGTCGTTAAAATGTAATCCTTTAGAATCCGTGAATTTAGCGGAGGGTATTGCTGTAGCTTTTCTTCATGCCTGTTGTACATCACAGTGCTCCAGAATTATGGGAAGCTGTGTGCAGCGCAACAGTGTGCCAGCTGGGAGGCTTCATGCTGGGCCAGCCCTCCCTCTTCCCAGCAGCCCCTTCTCACCATGTCCCTGCAGGGCTCAGGCTCTCCAACACAGGGGATGGTCTGCCTGTGTTTCCCAGCTTTGTGGATGGCACGGCTTTGTATGTGATAGCAAAGAATTGCTGGTATTAGATTAAGCAAGGTGTGTGTAACTACAAGTGACTATGAGGTCTTCCTTTACTCTGTGCCTCAGATACTAATTGCTTAATTGAGAGAATTATTTGGATAAGCTGCCATGCTAGCCCTACAGAGCACTGGGCGAACTCAGCCCTGCTTCTGTTCTTACTTACCGTGAGCATGCTCTTTCTCCCTCTCTCTGGGTGAAATGTTTTGATGTCTCTTGGAGTGTCCATCAGTGGCTCCAGGGAGGGGCCTGGCAGTAAGGAGGCGTGTCTACTGATTCTTTATGGACTGTGGAAAAAGGGCTCTCTTTTATCTCTGTCGCCCAAGTCTAGACAGGAAGCATGGCAGAATCCCCTCTGCAGCGCAGGGAGTCTCGAGTAAGAGGGGTGTAAAATGGCAGTGGTGCTGCTTGTGGGATGTCTGTGGCTCGGTCTTAATCATGACCGAAACAACAAACCGACACTAACACTGCACGCTACTGCTGTCTTCAAAGAGAACGGCCTCACTGCTACAGAGGAGTAGGCACATACCCAGGAGATTCAGCCCTGTCCTCAGAGGCTGCAGGCTCTTCCTGGTTTTGATTCTTGCTTAGGCTTTCCATTACTTTTCCACTGACGTCATTGTCTCACATGTGAAGTTTTTAACATTGAATTAAATGTCTTTTTCAGCCTGTCATTTAAAAGATATGCATCAGTCAAGATGCGTTTAGTAATACACCACTATGGGGGGCTAGGGAAAAGAGCCAAACTGGTCGGCCTAATCTGGTAATAAGACATTTAGAGAATGACGGGATTCAAGGAGCTCCAAGAGATCGGATGATGAAGGGATGTGGGTGGGACAAGCCCGGATCTCCACTGCCCTTGCTGAGTGGAGGTGAACTAAGCTGGATTTTATGAGACGTCACCTGGTCATTGGGGCCAAATCTGTGATCTTCCTGTCATGCCAATGTTAATGAGCCCCCGCTGTGTGTGCAGGTGTCTTTCCGCCTGGAATTTGAGTTCAGCCGCTCAGTGTTCCTGGACCACATTCGGATTATCCTGGAGGCCAGCAGGTGAGCTCTCCCGCTTACGGTCCTTTCACTGCCCTCTGCTGAGGTACAGTACCTGTCCCCTGTTTGGTGTCTCGGTCACTCCGAGTCGCTCTATACAGGGGTGTTTCTGCTCTTCAGCTCAGTCTCCTCACACAAGGCAATCCGGCCATGTCAACAAACAGCTTGTAAAACGGGGTGCACTTAATAGCAAGAACATTTGTAAACAGAACATCTTACAACCAGTAAGTTAGTAATGCAAAGACATGTTTCCATCTAAGACAGTGGTTCTCAAACTACGGTACCGCCAGCTGGTACGCCATATGACTTTGGAACTTCGTTGTGTGCGCTGAAAAATCAGGACGGGTTTTCATATTTTCTATTTTAATACGTGTCGAATACGCAGCCTACGTACTACGATACAGCGCGCGATTATACTTGAGTGGACACAAGAGCTACTATGTATGTCTATACCATTGTATAGGGATGCGTGCTACGAACGAAAGTGACCAATTGTATTAAAAAAAGTTATCCCCAGCAAATAGGGAGATAGGAGAATGTGCGTGATTTTGGAACAATGCCAATGCTGTAAGCACAGGAAAGCATAGAAATGCGTGCTAGGAACGCTGGCAATCTTGTGAGCACGGGAAAGCGTGATATATAACAGAAAAATGTTTAAGAACTGTTCTAGGTTAATTAGAGAAAAATACACCGAGCGTCTCTGTGTTTCGCTCCCATGCGCATGAAATACAAACTTCTTTTAATTTCTGAGACGGACTCGTGAAACGGAAACGGGGAAAAATGCAAGCTTGCGGATTGCTAAAGCAGGTAAGCCCCGCACTATTTTCGAAGAACCTTGTTTACCGTTAGCAAAAGAGCTGACACGCATTACAGTATGTGTGGAGAAAAAGCTGCTAAACAGCTCGACCTGCTGCCCCCTCTGAAAGACACAGTCACTGAAAATTATTGATATGGCAGATGATATCAAAAGTACGCCGATAGAGCGCGTTAAGATGAGCTGATGCTTTTCACTGCAATTAGAGGAGTCTGTAGATGTCGTGATTTGGCCAATTTGCTCGTTTACGTTAGATACGAGTTTGAGGGTACGTCCCATGAGGACTTTCAGTTCTGTAAGCGGCTACCAACAGGAACTACAGGAGAACACATATTTCAGCTTCTGAGTGAATTTATCGAAGAGAACGGCATCGACTGGATAAAATGCGTCGGAGTTTGTACAGACTGTGCTAGAGCGATGACAAACCGAAACAGCGGCGTAGTTGCACGAATTAGAGAGGTTGCTCTAGAAATGAATGGACGCATTGCAACATCCACTGCGAGACCTTTGCCGTCAAGAAAATGCCTGACGATTTAAAAATCTGTTAGACTCTGTTGTGAATTGTATCAGGGCTCGAAAAATGAATTCACATCTGCTTTGCTCGACTAAACAGGCTCACCCCTCTCGCTGAAATGGTGCTTTTTTATTGTTTATTTTTAATTGTTGTTGTTTCTGTTTTTTTCTGTAAAGCGCTTTGAGAAGCCACCTTTAAAGGCGCTATATCAAATAAAGTTTATTATTATAATATTTATTATATGTGAGTGTGTGTGCGCACGCGTGCTCATGTTGGTCATTGAGAATGTCTGGGGTTCCTATGAGAAGATGACTTGTAGGTGGTACTTGGATGCTTTGGTTTGATCAGGGGTGGTACTTGGTCCAAAAAGTTTGAGAACCACTGCTCTAAGATGTGGAATCAGACCTTTCAGCTCGTAAGACCAATGTTGATTAACATTGACACTAGAATATATTTCCCAATATGCAGTATGTCCACTGTATGTAAATAGGGGAGAATCGACAAAACTGGCAAGGTTTAAGGGAAGCCTAAGACCCTCAATGGTTAAAGACAAAAATAGTGGTCATTTAAACCAGTTAAGTCATTTAAGGTCCACCTGGAATGACAACTGTAGGATCTTACATTAGACCACATACAGGAGCAGATGTCCCTGCTTCACTTACTCCTGTTGTTGCCTTTAGAATAAATTGTTTTAAGTTAAGTCAGTAATATTTAGTAAATAATATTATTTGCCCCGTGGTTTTAAAACATGGTACTCCAAAAGGAGGCCAAGGGTCAGCGGTACTGCTTCCCAGGGATCACGTCCAGCTTGGAGTCTGTCTGTGTGGAGTTTGCATGGTCTTTTGTGCATGCGGCACGTTTTTCCAGGTGTTCCAGTTTTCTCCTTCCTCCCAAATACCTGCAGATGACTTGTAACTGTCTGCTCCTCTTGCCCTTTCCCAGGAGGAGGGCTGTATTCACAAAACCCTGACCGTCATGCTAAATTAACCATTCTGTTTCCTTATGAGAAAACAACACAACAAATAGGAAGCAGCTACAGTAAATACTTAAGGATGCTCATTTCATAGTGACAGAAATATTTTATTTACTGTTACTGTAGAACATAAGGATTTTGTATTTGTGTTTTCTAGTTTTAAATAAAAAACAAGCTGAAAACTTAAGGCGATATAAATATTTTGTGAATACAACCTAAAGTTTCGAGAGGATCTCTTGGGGGGGGGGGGGCAGGGGATTATGTTACATGTACTGGCCATGAACCTTAAGAGAAATTGAATATATTAAGTGCCTGTTTCAATTGAATTATCTCATTTGTGACTCGTCTGGTGTTGCGGTGGTCATCCTATGGTCTCATATTACAGTAGATTAATCAT